TGTATTAACCTTGTGTTACTGCTATTGATATGGACCTTCCAATTAATCCACATATATTAACTGTAGAATAACTCATCAATTAAGTTAAGCAAAACTGTGGTCTATGGACATCRGCAAGGAATTCTTGGAGTTCATCGAGATATTGACATACGTCAGAATACCTTGATTGATCATAAGGTACAACTGGTAGACCAATGCCGGACTGTGGACTTCTTTTGCATGTATTTTATGTGTATTTTCAGTGATTTATAAATGAAAAAGAATATTTAGGATCTGGTTTTAGTTTGTGTTGTATCAATTATATTCTATTTCATCTCATGTGCAACCATCAAACAAAGTAATGATACGCTAGGGAATGACACATKATCTGAAATGGGAAACATATAAAAAAAATATTCTATACCTGTGATTTATATGACTTGGAACAACATTTTCCAGTGCTTTCGTGAAATCGAAGAATTCCACAAGAATTCTGGCCACCAAAACAATGTAGTCTTTCCTTAGTCTTTCTGTTTCAGTGCTGCTCAGCAAATAGTTAATGTTATCAAACCCTTCAAGATTCTGTRCCAAAGGTTTCGAATCATCAAGGTTATTTGATGGCACTCTATCAAATGTTAGATACTGAGCTGTCCAGTGTAGATCTGAATTACGGTGGTTTTTCAGTTTTATATTAACCAAGATTCTGAGGTCAATGTTGTCCAAAAATACCTGGCATTGCTTTCCTGCACAAGTTTCTTATCGCACTTTCTCAGTAAAATCTGTTCCAATTTCTTCCATAATTGACCTGTATCTGTCTCTTGATTGGGTAATCCCTTCCTTGTTCGATCTTTGAGTTGTCTGCAAAATAGATTACACATGACTGTAAGTAACTGCAATGAAAATTACTTTAACCTAAAAACTACACCAAGACTTTTTTTGAATCCACAGATAACTAACTATATACCTTAGCTGTGGCACCTCCAACTCCAASAATGACAACATTTATCTTTTGTACGAGGCAAAGTTCACTCCACCTTGTATTCATAGTGTGCAGTATGAAGTACACAATGGAGGAACTTTGCTCTCATAGTCATCTTTTGTTTTAGGAAGAGAAATAGTAACAAGGAAATCCAAAACATCTGGTGCTCTTTTTTCCATTGCATCCAAAATTGGCAACCAAGAAAAGTTCTGAAGCTCCTTAAATTATAGAAATTACATAATTATACACATTAAACAACCTATGGAACCCTTAACATTTATCATTAAAACATAAACTTCATTATAAACAATGAA